TCAGGTACACCAATCAAACGTAAATTAGGTCTTTTCACATAGTCCCATATTTCTTGGAGACTTTGCTCATTCCTTTTTACTCTTTGTTCTCTAATCTTGTCTTCTCATTTTATTTCATTGAGTTGGTCTTCGACCTCTGATATCCTTTCTTCTGCTTGATCAATATGACTGTTAAAACCTGTGCATACTTCATGGAGTTCTCATATTGTATTCTTCAGTTCCATTAATTCACTTATATTCCTCTCTAAATTGTCTATTCTCTTTAGGATTTTGTCAAACCTTTTTTCAAGGTTCTTAGTTTTTTTACATTGGGCTAGAACATGTTCTTTAACTCACAGAAGTTTCTTATTATCCACCTTCTAAAGCCTAATTCTGTTAATGGAACGTATTCGTTCTCCATCACGCCTTGTTCCCCTGTTGATGAGGAACTGTGATCCCCTGTAGAGGGAGAGGCATTCTGATTTTGGGTATTCTCAGCCTTTTTTACACTGGTTTCTTCCCATCATTGTAAATTTGTCCACCTGTCATCTTTGTAATTACCGACTTTCAAATTAGGTCTCTGAGCAGATGTCCAACTTCTTGATTCCCAGCGCCAGAATCTGAGCAACCCAGTGTGCCGTCTAAAACAGCGGCATTGAGATTTCTGCACAGGAATCTCCGGTCTGGCTTCACTCTTGAGTCCTTTCTTCAATCAGCTGAATGGGTGACTCTGCCTTCCCGGAGCTCCAAACGTCGACCAGAAGGGGACCCAGTCCCGTTTACTCTGCACCGAGAACCACCACGCTAGCCACAAGAGTTGCGCTGGTGACCCATGGGGCTCCTCCACTGGGAATCTGGTCCGTGAGCAACAAAAGTTCATCTGAAAGTGTGGCATCCTCTAGTTCTCTGCACTTTCACTGGGAGCTACAATCCTGAGCTGCTAGTAATCAGCCATCTTGGATCTCTCATTTGTTTTTTGAGATGGAGTTTCACTCTCTCACTCAGGCTTGAGTGCAACCCCCACCTCCCACATTCAAGCAGTTCTCCTGCCTCAGCCTCCCAAGTAGCTGGGATTACAGATGCTCATCATCACGCCTGGTTATTTTTGTATTTATAGTAGATATGGGATTTCACCAGACTGATCTCGAACTCCTGACCTCAAGTGATTTGTTCGGCTTGGCCTCCCAGAATGCTGGGATTATAGGCATGAGTCACCAGCCAAATTATTGTTTTAATTTGCATTGCTTTGATTACTAGTGAGGTTAAACATTAATTTCCCTTTGAATTTTACCTTTTCTTTTATATTAGTAATACATAAAGCAGTCAGCTAAGTTATATTCACTTTCTGTTACAAATTGGATGATGAATGGATGGGTAGAAGGTAGAACCAGCAAAGTGAACCGGGCTGCCTACAGATCTGTAGAATGGTCATGTTGTCTTTTACCAAACATTACAAAAAGAATACATGCTCATTTTAAGAAGAAAAAATCAAATATTTCAAAAGGGTATATGAATATTATGAAAGTTTACCTCAACACTCTCCTTCCCTCACACACCAGTTTCTATTCCCTGATTTCACATTCTTTAGCCTTCACCCACTACCTCCTTACTGTCTTCACAGGACCTGCTGCACTGGTCATGGATTTAGGGGAGCGATCAGGAGAAAAGGGTTAGGGATTTGAAAAGGCATAGCTTCTTCATACGAAGCTCACAGGGCTTTCTGCAGGGTGGTCATTGGGAAGGGAAGCAGGAGAGAGAGACCACACCAGGTGTTTGTCTGCAATCAAATAGGCAGGGGAACAGAGTCAGCTAAGATTACCCTGTCTGCCTCAGTTCCGGTCCGTATGAAAAATGGTAGGCTGTTTATTGTAGCACAAGAGCAGTGTCCTTTGTTAAGTCCTGTCCCTTGAGTGTAACCTGTTTCCTTTACAAAGTGGAAAAGAAAACCTAAGAAAAGGTTGCCTTTCCAGCATGAACCCTTCTCCTCACTTGGGAGGTCCTTGTGGAGCCCTGCATCCACCTTTATCCATCTTGCTTCCAGAGAGTGGTTTGAAATAACATCCATAGCCTGTAGAGTCATGCCCAGTTCTGACTAAAGTAATGTCATCAAAGTCATGCTTGAAGCAGATGCCAAGACTTGAGTAGAATTTGTGGTGTGTGAAAGGGGACCTACTCCTTGTTATCAGGAAATCTTTTGGAGGAAAAATGATCTAATTGTCCAAATTCTTAGTGTTAACAAAATGGCTGTTAGGAAGGAGAGAGCCCATCACCAAACTGATCTAAAGCCTTTGGGGGAAAATTATTTTTACTCTCCTCTTTGAGAAATGCAAATGAAATGGGACAGGTCATTTTAGAACCAGTGGGTCACCAGCCTCCTATTAACTAAAAGAAACAAAGACATATGAGGTGGAAATATTCCTCATATTCTGGAGAAATTCTGCCTTTTATTCTTTTCAGCTTTTAAAACTGATCACCTATCCTGCTCCTTCTTGCATCGTTTTCTATAGGAAATCCTTTCTAACACACAAGCTGTTCAAAAAACAAAATTTTATTTGAAGCAGCTTTGTCTTAGACCTAGTCCAAAAGAGCTTCTTCAAGCAGAGTCCATCCCAAAGCAGGTCTAGGCTTCATTTTCTAGACCCAGAGGACAGAATTATACAAAGCTCTAGGTGATGGTGGAAATAATGGGATGTGTATGGGGGAAAGAGAGGGCTGTTGTATTCGTTCTCTAACACTATGTAACAAATTACCCCAAAACTTGTCACCTTAAAATAATAAAAATTTATTATTTGACAGTTTCTGAGAGTCAGGAATCCAGGGGCAGTTTAGCTGGGTGGTTTCTGGCTCAACCACTGTGAGGTTGTAGTCATCTCAAGGTTTGGCTGGAGCGGAAGGATCTGTTTCCATGTGGTTTTTAGCAAGAGGTCAGGGGCCTCCATGACCTCACCATAAGGCCCCTCCATAAACGTTCTCAGTATCCTCCTAATATGGCTTTCCACAAAGTGATCCAACAGAGTAAGCACCAAGACAAAGCTAGTCTTTTTATAACCTGTTCTTAGAAGTGACTTCCCATCATTTCTGCCATATTCTGTTCTCAAGAAGCAAGTCTAGCCCACACTTCAGGAAAGGAAAAATAAGTTCTACCTCTTGGAGGAGTATAAAAGAATTTATGAACAAATTTTTAAAACAACTGCTATATATGATCCGAGTTACCTGAACCTGGTCTTTAGTCTGCTCTTTGGTGTACAGCAGAGGTCAGCAAAGAACCAGAGAGTAAATATTGTAGGCATTGTGGATCAGACTCTCTATTCCAACTATTTAGCAATGCCATTATATTGCACAATAGATACAGGCAATCCATCAGTAAATGAGTGTGGCTTTGTTAGTTAAAGGAACATTTTATTTACACAAACAGGCAGCAGACTGGAGTTGGCCCAGGAGCAGTAGTATGGCCCTGGATAGCTATAGAAGTTACTGGAAGTGGAGCATATGCAGTGACCGATTCCTTGCTATCCTCATCTTCACAGAAATTCATCTAAGATGTTATGGTTCTCTGATCTGCTGCCATCATGTCTCTGCACCTCAAAATTTAGTGGTAAGATAACAGGAAGACAGTAAAGCAAATCTCAGGGATTTAGGTGGAGAAAACCTCAGCACATAGACAATAAGAATATAAGGAGAGCTGACTTGGTCCAACAAGGGTAAGACAGTGTCTTTATTCCATTGAATCACTAAGATTGAGATAAGGCAAGAAGTCTGAGAGGAAATGTTCTCTAAACAATTGGAACTGTGGGTCTAGGCTACAGCAGTGGGATTCTGAATCAATGGGTGAGTTAGGGGATCCGTTTTCATAAGGCTCCTACAGCTCCAAAAGATCCATGAGTTCACCAAAAGAGTGAATGTACAGGAGGAAATTGAGACTTGTGCATATCAGAGAGGGGGTAGATGGTAGAAGCTTCCCAGAGAGAGGAAGGGAAATATATATGGGACATTGAAACTTCAGAGCAAGATGTCACCTTACACTGTGGGATGGGGGATGAGGGATGGCAGTAACCCCTCAGTTTGCAATATTCACAAACTTCAAGTGATTATTTTTAGTTAGCATAGGGTTACAACATGTAAGTTCTTAGGCCTAATCTCCTCCTCCTTGTTCCTGAGGTTTGATTTAAAAAATACTGTATTAACTTGTTTCTCAGGGCTGTTTTTATTACTTACTATATGATCAAGTCAATGGGGCTAGGAATTCTACTTTCCTTCACATGAATTCACTTGCAGTGGAAATTTAAAATCATATAAGGTAGATAATTTCCTGCCTAAATAACATATTATTCTCAAATACATAGCTGACCTAGCTGACCCATCCCACCATTTAAAAGTTATGCTTTACTTTTCTCAGCCAAAACCACAGCTACTGTCACTTTTAAGTTCGATTTAAAGACCAAATCTTATCTCTTTGATGAGATATGCTTTGGAAGTGAACAACACTCTGCTGATAAACAATTTCTCACAGTGGTTTGATCGCTTTCACGCTACCATATGGCCCACCAGACACTATCCACGTCTGGATAACTGGGCACTCCCTTTGTTTTGTAAAGCTTTTCTCCCTCTTGTTCTGAATCTAAACAAAGAAGTAAAAACTTGTATTGCTGAAGCTTTGTTTGCAAGAAATGTGTAACTTCCTTTGAAATGATTTCATTGAATTTAAACTTACTCATATAAATTCTGAGGTATAAAGTAACATGGGAACAATGATCTCTATTTAATGTGATCATACCTGGGAACAATACAAAGACTTAGAACTTATGACCTCTAGATTCTTGCCTTGTGATGGAGTGTGTGTAAGTTAAATGTCAGGAGGAAGCCAAGTTGTAGAAATCTGATCCAGTTAGACACCCCACAGCTCCAGAGATGCAGGTCAGGAACTCAGTGAGTACCAAAAACTGCCATTACCCTGAGCTGAATTTATCTCTGTCGGGTAATGAACCAACAACGTCAGTCTTTCCAAAAATATATGTGAACTATTCCAGTTTTACTAATAACTTTATTTAAATAAGACACAGGAACTTCTATACTGAAAAAATACAAAACAAAAGCCACACATTTCCTTGTGTAAAGCCATATTGTATGGTAACTCAAATACTGTTCAGCGCAGTGGCTAGAATTAAACAGTACAATTATATACAAAATTTAAGCAATTTCTGACAAATTTCTACAGCTGGATGTAGGATACATTTGAGCTCAACAACTTCTGGGAAATTTACATGGCAAAGCATAAGCTTTAACACATTTGGTTCAAAACTTTAATATATGCTAAGAACAAATGTACAACACAATATTTAGTATCTCATGAGAAAATAAAAGCACGTCACTATAAATATCGTACATCAGATTTAATCACCAAAAAAGCATATTCAGTCCATTTTTCTGAAATTGATATTGATACTATTGCATTTTATTTGGACAAAAGCAGAGCATAAGATCAACATATTATGTAATGCTAAACCAGATATCAGAAGTTAAATGGAGCTCATATTTATCTTACGGAACTAGTAATTTTCTCCCTTTAACCATGATCTACAAAATATAATATTTTCATGAAGGCCTGAGATTATTAGGGTTAAAGGTATCTGCTGCTGAAAAGATTGTTTTAAAAGGTTCCCCTGTGAAAATGGCAAAAGTAAACTGAGTCCTTTTTCCCATGACAGTCTCCTACTATATAACACTGACTAATTTAAAGGAGCCAGAATGCATGTTCAGGAGAAAATATTACGGCAAACTTTGGTGGAAAGACGAGAATTGGGATTATGACAAAATAATACACATACACACACACAAACATATACATATATATATCATTTGTTTAAAAAAAATCAATGGTGTTGCTTTCTTCTCTATCGCCTCATCCTTCTTCAACCTTCTTAAAAAAATGAACAAAACAGAGAAAAACCCAGGAATGAATGAAGGGAACTGAAACGTTCCTTTAACTGTAGGCACCTTGTTCCCCTAATTCTTAAGAAAATTGTGCCATGCACCTTAGGTGCAGATGAAACAACTCTAAGTGTTACTGAACTGAAAGCAGTGGAATACAAATACAAAATCTTCACTTTGCTTTTGGATACTCTGTACTGACGAAACGATGAAAGTAAGGCTCTCCTGCTGCCCAGTCAGGAATACCTAGCACTCTCTTCACACTTGGTGAAGAACTTATGTCAAAAGTTTGCAAGTTTAAGGATATTTTCTTGAGTTTATGCTCTACTTCAAACATCGCAAATTTCAAAACTATTCATGATTGTGTATTACGAGAGGCTTAAATGAGATAGCTTCAAACTAGTGCTCTTGTAAGTTACCAAAAAGCCTGCTTATTTATGTTGCATCAATTCTGAGACCCAAGTATTCTATGCAAATGCAGGTCATGCACCTAAACTGGAAAACAATAACCAAAAGTATGTCAGTTTTCACCTGCAGAATAAAGAATTTCCAAGAGAGAAACTAAACATAAATACATCTTTAGATTAAATGGTAACAGTTATGACCCTGATGGCCAACATAAAAAAGTCTCAACCATCCCTTCAAACACTTTACTTGCTTTGAAATTAAATCTAGACATTCTTGTCTTTAAATTTCATCACACACAATGTGGAATGTTTAGGTACAGTCTAGTACTGAACACTTTATTTGCAACATTATAACAGTCCTTTACTGAGCAACACCTGAACTTTTAAAAAAAGCCACATGTACACATGTTGAAACAGTGAATCCAACAGTTGTTTTACTTGTAACCACATGACAAAGTGATGTCAAACACCACAGATTTGCTGGTTCTCCTCATGTTCACCCATGTCCAGGATTATCATTCTCCTAGGATTGAATGCACTTCTTATTCTAAGAATATGGAATGTAATGAGGAAAGGGAAATGCATAAAATGAGGAAAGGCAAAAGAGTGATGTTCCCTCTTTAGCTTTTTAGCTGTGAAATGTTTAATATCCCAATATGATATACATTCCAAGTTACCTGAGTTTAGACTTCAACTGAAGTACCTGAAGCTAGGCCATAGGGTGGGCACTGTGCAACTGTTGTGGCCATTTTTTTTTTTTTTTTTGCATTGTATGTATTACAGAAGTTAGAAACAAACACCTGGGTCAATTGTAAACATAATCCTGAAGTACAGTATTTTCCATAGGACAAAACACAGCAAGACATTTTCTATTTAGACAGGCAACTTTTTGATATAGAGCTTATTTATACTGAAGAATCTGGAACAAAACACAGGACAAAGTACTAATCTCAAACATACTATGAAATGCATAGTCTCCACTTAAAATGCTGAATGACACACAAGTTTTGCAAGCATTACTGCTTTCCACAAAAACTGCTGAACAGGAGTTCCATCCCTGCCAAGATCAGTGTTGAGATATTTTATGATGCTGATAAGTATTGGTGGTGGTGGTGGTGGTTCAGAAAGTTTGTCACTCCATGCAGATAGATGTCTGAAATCTTGTTCCTAATCCATGGAAGGTAGGGTGGAGGCCAGCTCCCCCTTTTTTAGATGATCACATAGTTCTGGGCAGAGATGTGGTCCTCACCCTGCAGTTCCTGCAGGAGTTGCTGCTGCTGGGATGGCTGCTGGGCAGAGGCCTCCGTGGAGGCCGCTGTGCTGGTGTCATCAGAAAGAGACGTAAAGGAAACCCGGGATGAGAGCTGCTCTACGGTCAGAGTTGCCAATGCTGAGCTCTGGCCAGAGTTAGGAGAGTTCTTGAGCATAAGGTCGGAAGCCGGTAAGAGAGGGCCTAGAAGTTTTACAGGACAGAAAGCTGACCCGGTTGGGATGAAATTAACCTTGTTTTTGTCAGGACATGAAAAGAGAGGGGCCGAGATAGGCTGACGAGACCTAAAACCATAAAACAAAATTAGATTTATAATCACTAACACAGAAAAAGTTAAGCATTTTCCGAATTAACTGGAGTATTCTAAAACAGCTAAAATGTGAATGGCAGGGGATGGGTTAAGTGTGTACAGAGGGATAAACATCTTCCATAGCACAAGTCAGCTGGCAGACTATTCAAGCACACAGCACTGAAGTGGTATCTGAGACAAAAGGATTTTCAAAAGAACCAGAAAGACAAATATTTTAGAGATCATTAGTTTTTAATCATTTGGAAAGGTGGAGAAATCTGCTACATTATAATTGAAGATTGTGCAAAGTTAGAATGACCTTTTCTGTTAAGAAAAAGTATATTGGAGGTGGGGGGCATTAGTCCATCATGTATTTAGTTTTAAATACTCCTTCCTTTTTTCTCTCTAGATATACTTCCATTAGCACAGATGGGGGATGGAGTAGGAAGCGGGGAGAGTTTCAGTGGTCTCTCAAAAAGCCAGTCAGTTCAACAGAGCTTGGGTCCACAAGCCCTTCCTCTCCTCCTATTCCCAAGAGCTAAGCCATCAGCTCCTGTAAGATGGAACCTTCTAGGTTGCAAGAGTACAGCACCCTCCACTAGGCACCTGCACTAGAACAAAGGCATGAGTGCATCCAAGAACCACATAGTCTTCTTTTGAGCTACTCTGCACGGTGTTTGCAGCATGAACCTCTTTTTCTAGTTTCACTTCTAACTCACACATATTAAAATTTCATTAAGAAAACAAACCTCTTGTGAACAGAAAGTCTGAATATCAGCAAGCTTGATGTGGCTATAGGGAAGGAGGCTAATCTTCTGGCTTGTAGAGTACACTGTCTTTAAGCTAGTCACCCATGGACACTGACTTTGCTCCTAACATCTCTTTGTTAGTCATCTAACTTAAGAGTTCTTGAAATGACAATTCTTAATGATTAAAAATAGATCTTTCAGGTAATAAGTTTCCAAGTTTCTTTGTATTGGCTTACACATTTCGAGCATACAGACTCCAATTCTCCTTCAATAAGATCTCTCTTGCCTATTCAATTCTCTTTACATTATTTGCTGTTGAAACACATTATCAGCTGGATAGAGTAGTTGATTCATATGTAATCAACTGGTCTTAGTAAAAAGCTTTACAGCTTTGCAGACAGATCCCAGCTGACAGAAAAGACATTACTTACGCCATTTCCTCAAAGACCTTCACTCGCTCACATCCCTCTGGGGGCTCCCGTTTGAACATGTAGCTGTTGTTTGGTTTGGGAGATGAAGCATACTTGGGTAACGGTGAGCTACTCCCACTGTCTGTAAATTTAAAGCAGTTATATTAACTAGTGATTGAAAGCTCTATTAAATTAAATTTGATTTCCAAACAGCCTTTTGCACAATTTATCCACTACTGCCCCTATGCTTTGACCACAGTCTCCTTTATTGCAAAGCTATTTCTTACACCTTGCATAGTACATTCTTCTAAATAAAAACTTCAGTGCAACAGTAATCTGCCATACCAGAGAACATAAAAAGAAGGACATTTTGGTCCAGAAAACTGCATTTTGAATAAAACAGAGCTGCCATCCTGAAAACAAATATGTTATTTATTATGTATTTCAAGAATGCAAATGATGGGCCAATGTGCTTAAGTCATACAGAAGAATAAAACAGATTACAATGATACAGGTTCTCTATGTGCCTTCTCACTGTAAAACCGACTTAATGAAAATGAATAATATTCACTACAAAAGTTCTTAGCAGAAATGTTATTTTTGCTAAATATCATGAATAACATGTAGGGGAAAAAAACAACTTTATAAAATGTCTTTCTATCTGCCCAGCATAAGAAACATAATTTGCTCAGAATTTTACCTTTAAAATTTTAATAATAAAAGGACTTTTTCAGCAGAGTTTGTATTTTTGCTACTAGAAGACATGAGACATCTCCAAACATCTCTACCTAACATGTTTTCCTCATATTTTTGGCCAAAAAGAAAATGGTCTATTCATGAAAAGCCGTAAAACCTACATGCAATTTCTCCCTTTCCTACCTGGCAAGAGATGTTGGAAATTCAAATCCACTAAAATGTGTCATTATCTCTGTGAGATGCCAAGTTGTAAAGTCAGTAACATGTTTGTATACAGTAGTCCTATTTAAACAAATTCTGACTTAATACAAACCAATCCCCACTGCTAAAATACTAAGCACATAATCGACTGAAATGTATTATTTTCTTCTATTTGAAAGACTGAACTAGTATCATAATTATATTTATCATAATTTTGGTAAGTTGCTTTAGTTTAGAATACAGAGCACAGTCCAATACTCAGAAATTGAGTAATAAGAATGTTTTATCATCATTAATGAAGTTATAATACATGCTTAGGAAGAAGCCCCTTGATGTATACTAATACTTGTTAGTCTTGTGAATGCAGATCTATGCTTGTATTTGAACATGGCTATACCTCTGGCTGGGAAACCACTGTCTGGAAAATAAAAAGGTTACATTATTGGGAAAGCTAGAAAAATCACATAGTTTCTCTATCATTATTATGTATGTCCCTACAGAGCAGGCACCAAATAGCCTCTTGGAAAAAAATTAAGTCTTAGAATGAAGTTTGGTTTCTTCCTATACCATTCAGATTTGAGGATTTTCTTAAGTTTAATACTTATCTTGTATCTTGCATAAACAAATGGGAGGAAGCAGGAGAAATAGGATTGTATCTCTTAGGTTGATAAAAAGCATAATTAGCCTGATTGGAGGTCTGAATTTGCTGCCGTATTTGAGCTAGACTACTAGACTAGACAAGACTGGTTCATGATAAAAACAAACCACCTGATGAGAATAAGGCCTCAAATTTGGTGTAATATAAAAAATATAGCTTGACCTTACCTTATTATGCAAACAGCAACAAGCCAGGCAAAGGAAATATGAGATCAAGAATACAAGTAAGTAGAAAGGATGGAAACCCATTCTTCATGATGTGCTTATTTCACACTACATACTATCAAAACATCTCATGTACCCCATAATATATATACCTACTATGTATCCACAGAAATTTAAAACATACAAGTAGATGTGGCATGAGATGACTTCGTGGAAATTACTGCTGAGTGTTACTTAGCCTACATGGCACAAGCAGCATCAGCCTCAAACCATGGGCTTGATGCCATCAGTAGTCATGTCAGTAGTTAAGGATGTGCCCTACTATAATGTAAGAAAAGTCATCTTGGCCACAGTTATTGTCTTCTGTGTTCTTTTTCTTACTACAACATCAGGCCTACCACATTATTTCTCTCACTATTTTATTGGTGGTTTCAAAGGCTAGATGTGAGCTGGCTAATCTAGCTGCAAAACTGATTATCTTCCTATTAACAATTTAGAATGAAGTAATTTTTCTTCTTAAAATATTTCTAATTTCAGACACGGTAAGTGTATTTTTTAACAGAATTTTACCCTTTTAAACATTACTGTTCTGCTTTTTTGGGGGGGGTGTTACTAATGTTAAGTAAACACATATACTGCTATCCCAGACTGACAGTATTCAGTGTTATTTTTCTGCCTTTTCAATAAAAAGTATTTGTTTTTTTTGTTGAATATATATTTATATTTAATGTTAGGTGGTCTGGAAAGGCAAAGCTTAAATAAAAAAATTTTGAGACTACTAACAAATACTTGCTGAATCTGGAGTTTTTCTTCAGGTAGGTATACAATCTGAGAGACTATAAAGAGGGGCCAGGGAATGGAGACACCTAGTCTGCGGTTTTAAAAGCTCTTATTGTATAGCTCTATGTTACCTGGAATACAACCACCTTTCTGGATTTCTATATAATTAAAGGAACTGCCACTCATGACCTCTAAAATTCTGTGATTTTTCTTTAATAGTTCTAATATACAAAGAAGGTGTATTTTGCAGCAGGGCTTGGTGGCTTACGCCTATAATCCCAGTACTTTGGGAGGCTGAGGAGAGCGGATCATGAGGTCAGGAGTTTGATGCCAGCCTGGCCAATATGGTGAAACCCAGTCTCTACTAAAAATAAAAAAATTAACCAGGCATGGTGGCATGCGCCTGTAATCCCAGCTACTTGGGAGGCTGAGGCAGAAAAATCACTTGAACCCAGGAGGCAGAGATTGCAGTGAGCCAAGATAACACCACTGCACTCCAGCCTGGGTAACAGAGCAAGGTTCCATGTAAAAAAAAAAAAAAAAAAAAAGACCTATTTTGCATATATATTTTTTCTTGCCTTACAAAGTGGGTAAAAACAACACATACTGGCTGGGTGTGGTGGCTCACACTTGTAATCCCAGCACTTCAGGAGGCCAAGGTGGGCGGATAACGAAGTCAGGAGTTTGAGACCAGCCTGTCCAATATGGTGAAACACTGTTTCTACTAAAAAATACAAAAATTAGCTTAGTGTGGTGGCACATGCCTGTAGTCCCAGCTACTCAGGAGGCTGAAATAGGAGAATCACCTGAACCCAGGAGGCGGAAGTTGCAGTGAGCCAAGATCATGCCATGGCACTCCAGCCTGGGTCAGAGAGTGAGACTCCGTCTGAAAACCAAAACAACCCTCCCACCCCCACCTCCCCGCAAAAAAAACCTGTCACATATGGCCAACCTATGCTACTCATTCCAGACTTGAATGTATAAAATGTTACTATTCATTTAAAACTCTGTGTTGAATTTAATAGCCACATTTCAATACAGAATATTATAAACATAAATATGCCTGCTCAGGAGATTCAAGATAAGAAGTCTCATGGTAATCTTAATTCAATCTCTTTTGTTTACTAGTATAGCAAGTTTTCTCATTCTGTTATCCCAGATATTAATACGGAATCATAACTAGAAATACATTTGAGATTAGGTTAAATGTTACTTTATGACTTTTAACATCAAAGCCAATGTCAATTAATAAAATTAAATGCACTGAATTCTTTACGTATCTTTCTATATTTGCAAGTCTCATTTACATATATTTATAACAGAATCACTCAACTCTGAAAATCAAGAATATGAAAAAATGTGATTGCTATTTTATCATATTAGATTATACATATGCATTTGTACCATATTTACCATTAAAATACAATTAGCTTGTCAAATACTTTTAAACATATAATGAATTAAAGCTTGGAAAAATTAGAGAACTTATTAAAGTTTCAAATTTCATATAGAAACAATATTCATTAAACTACATGTACTTGTATAGCTTGAGTTTTCTCAATTTCTCCTTATAAATGACCTTTATTATATCTGGTATATTATAGTGTGTGGCCCACAGTTCTTGTATAAAAAAATTATACATTTGATCGCACAACTGCACTCCGGCATGGTGACAGAATTGAGACCCTGTCTCGAAAGGAAAAAAAATATTGCATATATAAAGGTTGATTCATTTATGCAGGCAGTATGTAAAATCTCTGCCATGGTTCTACTCTAGCCCTAAGTCTATACATGTGCTTTATCTCTATCAGATTACTTTATCAAACTAAGTAAAATTAATTCTAAAACAAGCAATAATAGAATAGTGGTTCTTAACCAGAGTTTCTTTCACATTAGGATCATCAGAAGATGTTTTAAAAGATAAATCCCTAGACCTCATTACTCAAAGACTCTGATTTAATTAGTCTGAGGAGAAGCCAAGCATTGCCTTGGGGTGGGGAGGTAGGGGTAAAGCTCCCAAATGCACCTGAATTGCCACTCATGAACTCTAAAAATCTGTGTTATTTCTTTAATAGTTCTAACATACAAAGAAGACATATTTTGTGGCCAGGTGTGGTGACTCACAGCCATATTCGAGAATCAATTATGAAAAGGTTAAGAACACTGGTCTGGAGTGAGGACACCTGACTTCTTCCTAGACCTAACTGCATGGCATAGGGTAAGTCTGATCCCTCTGTTTTTTGATCTATAAAACAGAAAATACCACTGATATGATAGCTGTGAAAAATGTATGTAAAAGAATTAGGATAAGGGCTCGGTGAGGTGGCTCACACCTGTAAGCCCAGCATTTATGGAGGCTGAGGTGGGAGGATCACTTGAGGCCAGGAGTTCAAGACCACCTGGCCAACATGGTGAAACCCTCTCCACAAAAACAAAAAACAAACAAACAAAAAACCCAAAACAAACAAACAAAAAGGATTAGGATAGTGCCTCAAACACAGTAAGCTCTGAATATTATCATAGTGAAACATAACATCATTTCTAATTTGAAAATTAAAAATGATGAACCATTAAAAAAATTACATGCCTATTCTGCTCCCTCTTGACATAAGAGAGTAAAGGAAATGTTTTTAATAGATTTGT